ACCGAGCACAAATTGGTTCGGACCAAACTGTACATATATTTTCGTAAATCGATGTATTACACTCCCGCCGTGAATCGGCGTAAATTTAACATTCTCTCCCTCGGTACCGTGGCGAAACGTATTGAGCTGGAGAAGGCGATGGCTGCACGCCTGTGTAATGCGGACAACATAGCCACAGTGGGCAACCTGTGGCACCACATTCGCGACCAGGTGACAGCTGCTGCGGAGGAGACCATCAGGCGCACAAACTGTAAGCGGCCTGATTGGTTTGATGAGAACAATGCGACGATCGGCGCATTGGTGTCGGAGAAGAATGCAGCATTTGCTGCACATGTAGCAGACCCCAGTGACTTGGGGAAGAGTAGTCAGTTTCGCAAACTTCGACGGCGTCTGACCCTAAAGTTCCGTCACATTAAAAATGCGTGGTGGGCAGAGAAGACGAAGCAGATGGAATGCTACGCCGAACGCCGCCAACACAAGGAATTATTTGACTCCTTGAAGGCGGTGTGTGGACCGAGATTCGAGCCGCTGAGGAAGCTGATCAATGGTAGTTCAGGCGCTACCTGCACACAGACTGCAGACATAATGCAGATCTGGCAGAAACACTTTAACTGACTCTTGAACAACCTTTCAGAGATCGACCGACCAGCATTGAACGGCCTGAAGCAGCACGATGTGAAGGCGAGTCTGGCTGACACGCCGACACCGGATGAGACGCAGCGAGCACTTGCTCAGCTGCAAAACGGCAAGTGCGCCCTTGCCGAGGGATCACGCCTGAAGTATTGAAACATGGCGAACCGCTTTGATGACTGCACCGCACCAATTGGTGCAACGCGTAACAACTGTGAAGGAGGTGCCTTCTGAACTGGAGATGCCCTTGTGCTACCACTGTACAAGGGCAAACATAGCAAGCAATGTTGCACGAATTATCGTGGCATCAACTTGCTGAGTTGTGTGGGCAAGGAGATTGCCCGAATCCTGCTCAACAGCCTCGTCAGTCAGGTTGTGGAACCTAACGTGGCAGAAGAGCAGTGTGGATTCCGTTCGGATCGCAGCACTATAGATATGGTGTTTCCGGGTCGCCCGTTGCAGGAGAAGTGCAGAGAACGACACCAGCCATTGCACTCGTTTTGTGTTGATTTCACCAAGGCATTTTATACGGTGAACCGCAAGGCTTTATGGCTGGTGTTGGGTAAGTTTGGTTTCCCGCGTAATTTTGTAAGTTTGATTGAATGTCTGCACAGCGGCATGCGAGCGAGAATGCAGGTGAGTGGAGAGACCTCAGATGACTTTGCATTTTTCTCTGGTGTGAAGCAAGGCTGTGTCTTAGCTCCTGCCCTGTTTGATACATATCTTCATGCATTGATATCTTGCGCTTTTGATGCGGCTTGTGCTTACGGTGGTCGTATGGAGTACCGCATTGATGGTGGGTTGCTGAACATCCGTCATTTCGATGCGACAACCCTAATTTGCGAGACAACTGTCCGTATGTTGCTGTTTGCTGACGACTGTGCGTTGTTTGCACACAGTGCGGATGAGTTGCAGTACATGACTAGTTCTCAGGCTTCGACAGCGACCAAAATCGGGCTCATCATAAACACAAACAAAACTGTCTATCTCTTTCAGCCTTCACCAGAGGTGCAATCTTCAAAAGTGCGGCGAATCAGCATTGGTGCTGAAGTATTGGAAGCCACCTCCCGCTTCTGCTACCTTGGGAGTGTGATGTCGACTGATCAGCAGATACACAGTGAGCTGCGTATTCGCGTGTCGAAGGCAGCGACGGCATTCGGGAAGCTTGAGTACCGAGTGTGGAACAACTTTCAGCTAGCCATTGACACGAAGTTGATGGTGTACAAATCCATGGTGCTGTCCGTTCTTCTATACGGTAGTGAAACGTGGACAATGTACCGGCGGGATGTGTGGTATCTCGAGCGGTTCCATCAACAGTGTTTGCGACGGATTTTGCGCGTCGGTTGGGGAGACAGATTTGCGGACACGGAAGTGTTGCGCCGAAGTGGGATGTATGCAGTGGACTACATACTTTTGCTGAGACACTTGAGGTGGTTCGGTCATATGTGCCGCATGGATTCGACGCGGATACCGAAACAACTCTTATATGGTCAGCTGAGTAATGGGAAGCGGCATGTAGGGAAACCAAATTTACGCTACAAGGACATGGTCAAACTGAGCCTCTCACGTTGTAATCTTGATTGCGGGTCATGGGAATTGAAGGCGGGTGATCGGCGTACATGGCGCGATCTAATCACGAAGGCAGTTGCCGAAATGCAGAGAGGAAGCGGCAATTGCAGAAGTGGCAATCACGGATGGGTTGTACTCCATCGACATCGAACGAATGTTACTGTGGTACACGCGGTCGCGAGTGCCTGAGTCAGGCAGACCCATTGAGCTTGGTGCCTTTGGCTCAATAGCCTGACCCACAATCAAGTGGATGATTTTGAGGTTTGCTTGAGGGACTCCGCCCGGTGCGTTTGGCTCAACAGCCTTACCCACAAGGCAGTGGGGAGCATATCCAGCTCGGGAATGTGGTTGCAGAGACAGATTGGGATCTGCTGGACGGCCGTCATACGCAGCCTTTGAGGTAATAGAACAATTAATATTTGTTTTGCAACCGCAGTAGGATACACACCTGCGACCACGACCAGACGCAGATGGGGTTTGGCGGATTTGCACCAATTTGACCAGCGGCTGCCTGGCTTGAGGCGGGCAGTAGCAAACCACTGAACACCCGGAGGTGTCCTCCCACCGTCAGAAATAATGCGTGGCACTGGTGGTCTACGCCAATCGAGCTGTGAGCTTATAACCCGTAGCCCTGTTGTCTCCCATGGCTAGGTTTTACGGGAAGAGGGCAATCGACCACTTCCTAACCTCCGAAGAGGATGGACTAGGATACTAGCAAGACGCCCATACCTGACAGGGGTGCGACTCGGGTCCTCAGCTAAAGCCATCGATTAAATGTGCACCCGAAAGTCAGCGGGTCTAGCACATAGTCAGTTCACTGATTCCTGCGGATTGGTGTCCTGGATCTTAGCAGCGAGAAGGGGGTAACCCAGCTTCCACCCAGCGGTCGCCACGAGGAGGCGCCCTGGACATGAGGCAGTGGTACATCAATAGCAGCAATAAGTAGACGATCTTTCAGGATCTAGCCGCGACCATCCTCAGCGAATCATAGGCTCTTCCGCTTGGATATAACAGTTGACCTATATGTGATTGGCAGAATACCACATCGCATTTGCAACAACCACAAAAAGTAGAAAGGCGGACCATGAACCAAGGGTTTTGTGCGTTTATGTTTCTTCTCTAGCTCTGGAGTTCGTAAAAGCAACTGAGTGCCGCACGGTAGGATTGGTTTGACAGTTTCAATATGGTGTGATGTGGAATGCTCGTTTTGTCGATGTTTGATACATCATGTAGTTTTGGAACGTTCGCGCTATTTAGTTTAATTTTAGCATTCAGGGCCCCTTAGGTGTATCGCTTAACTCGAATTGTCGCACTCTCAGAACAATCTGTCACAAATTTGGTCCCGCCTCGTCCCTTTTCCCCAGGTCGCATAAACATTGGATTTTTGTGAATCAATCTGTTCGTTCCTTCTTATCTAATTTCTTAAACCTAGGGCCCTTATCCGGTTGACTGAGGCAAACTACAAGGCATCATTATTACGCCGGTACGCATTACCAACTCTCCTCCACCAGGCGACCGCCACCGGGCGTACACTCGTGAAACTGTGTGATCAACTCCACCTATTGGGCTTCAAACCTTTGCTTTTGATTGCAACTCGAACACCTTATACTTTCGGTCAGCGAGTGACAGCTATTGAGAATGACTCCACCACTACACTTTAACTCCTTCAGTGTGTCAAGAAGCTTTCACCTTTGCGGGCTGGCATGATCTATGCGATTCTGGCAGCAGTCATCCACCAAGAAATACGTAAACTTCTCCCGACTAATATTCAAGTTAACGACTAACATTTAATCTGGTCAAATTGGCTCCCGAATTGCAACTCATAGTGGGGCTAGTTGCCGCCGAGATCAGGAGGCTTAAACTTTGAACTGAATGACAAATTTTGTTCGAGGTTGCGTCAATTTCCATACTAAGAAAGTTACGTACATTACTTTCGTGCTTGTCCGGAAAGACATGTTGCTGTTTAATATAAAAGCCGATTCTCAAATTTCCTACTCAAGGGAACAAAGGCAAGATGATGATTCGAACGTGAATCACGTATGGTCTGTAGGTTTTTGTTTACTATTTTGTTACTAGCTTTGAGCCAAATTGAATTTAGCAAAAGGTCTTTCCTGGGGCTTTTCCAAAAAATTTCCCCTTTGCTAGCGCTTTCGAATTACACGTGGCCCCATAGTGTCATTGGTGGATACTCTCAAAAATACCGCATTCACCTTAGGGTCGAGGATGCTGTTAATACTAGCTGGGGGATGAGTTGCATTTAAACTCAATAATGAAATGACTGCACAATTGTGGGCTCTTTCAATATACTTTCGAAAATGTTACTTGTGATACACTTAAGAGGGTTCGCCCTGCAAGTCAAACCAGTGAGCGGCTGTGCATCTCCATAGTGGACAGAAAATTCCCAAAAGTCTACCACCAACATTGTCAGGAAGCAACAACCAAACTGTGATAACACTGCATAACTTGAACTATACACATATGTCATAAAAATGGTGAACCCTGTCCCAGCTTCCAGCCTGTACCACTAGTTGCTAGAGTAGATGGGAAATTTAGAATTCGTTCTCATCGGTGTTAGTTTTTCTCATGCTCTAAGTTGCGTATCTGCAGTTTTACTGTTTGGGAAACTCGGTAGTTATGTGAGTGGAATGGTGTTAGCAAGCGACTCCCTCGTGACAACACATCAGCGTAGTTGTCAAATGATGATTATACGTATAAATATTTGAAGGAAAACTACCAATCTTAATTACTTGGCAGCCAACACATTGTTCCATCGCGTCTTCATTTTGAAACTATCACCACAGTGCCTGGACAGAAGGAGGGGACGAGACCGATCGAACTTCGCTGCGGATTTTGTTACTCCCGCTTTTTCGCCCCAAGCTCACTTGGCCTGACTTCGGACGCTAGATGCCCCCACTGCAGTCGCCTAACTTCAGTCGGTCCGGATTTCTCCCACAGGAGAGCAATTAGCCTTGGTATCTACTCCTTCATCTCTCTTGCAGTTGCTGTGTCAACTTCAGTGAGTTTAATCCGGCGTTAACATCTTCCCATATGAGTTACTAGCCGATCTGATTAAATGAGCCAGCGTGCTATGCATACCAAAACAAAACTCATGAACGAAAGAAACTAAAGTTGGCTTAGAGGATGCTGCGTTAGTCGCAAGTTATTGGAAAGGTGGTGGTGAAGGAAGTCGAGGCACCACACTTAACATAGAGTGGCTTCTTAAGCCTCATTATCATGCTATAGAATGACCGGAGTGTAGGAAGAACACGGCCTCGGTACAAACACCAGTTATTACGGCAGCGCATAAGATGGCAACGGGTCCTGTTTAACGGATGAGTAGGCTTAGGAAGTTTCACTATCAAATCTAGGGGGACAGTTTAATTACTTGTAGAGTAGACAAAAGTGATAAGAGCATGCGGCGCAGTAAGAATATATGCATGTAACTCATCCGAACAAAGGAACAATGCCAGGTCGAATATACTTAGGCAAGCAATGCTTCCAAGAGCGAATGATGGACTCAGAGCTTCGGGTGATCGCGCACAAACCCCCGTTAGTAAAGCCACCAGTAGAATTATAGTTAAGCCATTTGTAGCGCAGGACGAGAGTAACTGATCTTTGTCCAGCTTTCGGTGAAACTTTGTTGTCACCATCCTTAAGGTGGACAAACTTTACAGATTGGTGCTTACTTGTGTCATTAGGCTGAGGAAGATGCTCAGCGTCATCGTTTCGGCGCATCGGTTTTTCGTGGATTTCATTCTGACTACCCCGGTGAACTGGGATATGCTTAAACAAAACCTACCCTGCTTGACCAGTTCCGTATTTCCGCGTTTTATTTTTCAGAAAACCACACGTACAACTACGCCACATACTTGTGTTCACAGCTAACAATTTACCTTCATCTTAGAGGACAATTCAAGCGCATCCAAACGGATGAATAATGTTTGTTGTCCTGCCAAACAAACAAGGCACTTCACAACCTGTTTCCACATTTATCGACCTCATCGGGTAGATGTAGCAGACACTTTGACCCGCGGCCTTTGGGATATCGGCTAATACCTTTAGCTCTAAGTCACAGAGTCACGCCGGACAACGGTTATCCCGACTAATGACTGATATCCACCGGCTTCATCATTTCTAGTCCCAGTGATTGAACTGACCGACATTACCTGCAGTGTGAAGCCCCGTCCACACTAAGGTTGTGCGTCGCAGATGGAAGTGACCTCTGCCCATGGGAACCATGGCAAGTTATTCCGTCTGATACGGAAACGCGCAAAAGGAGACCTAATGGTGAAACAACCTATCCACAACTTGTCAAAACCATTAGAGCGTTGGGCTGAGCAAGCCAAAAAACAAAATCAATCGGAATTGTCAGCTTTCTAGCTACACACTGAACGTACTGTTTCCTGCGCAGTCCCTTTGGATCCTCCCTCTCATTCAGGATTCGAAAGTGAAATCGGGCTGCTAAACTTGAATAAAGCCGCAAAATTAGATGAACCTCCTCCAGCAGCCTTCAAATTCAGGGAATCTGCTCTTGTGGATGATTTACACAAGTTACTAGTGAAACTGTGGGAGCAGGAAACTGTCCCAACTGATCGGGGCCGCTCCGTCATAGTCCCAATTTCTCAAGGGATGTTAATGATTAAAATGCGGTAACTAGAGAGGAGTCGGTTTCATCTCCATCGTCTCCAAATTGCAGTTCTCTGTCACCCTTAACAGACAGACTGAACCTCGTGAAAACCAGATTGGCGAAGAGCAAACCGGGTTTCGTGGATGTCGTGGTTGCATCGACCACAAATTCACATTGCATCAGCCACAGGAACACGGTCATGTATACTGGCGGTCCACTGTTGTCGTGATCATCGACATCAAAGGTGCTTTCGATTCGGTTGATCAATGTGCTATTTGGAACTGATTACTCCGGAAACATGTGCACCACAGAAATAGGTAAATATTATACCAGCGTTAAACGCACGCATGTTGAGCAGAGGGAGGGCTTACGGCAAGATGACACCGCTACTCAGTATCTCCAGCTGTAGGAGACAAAGATGCTCACCGTCACCTTTCGTATTCAACTTTGCCATTGACGAAGTCGTGGAAATTGTGGAACTGGACACAACTAAAAATGCGTGGAGATGCTCCCAATAGAACGACTACTTGACTTGGAATATGCGGACGATATTGCCCCCATTTGTGACAGCTCGCACACGTACTAAGCTGCAATGGACAGATTAGGACTGCCTATCAGAAGCTTTGCTTTGCACCATCGAAGTGGAAAACTTACCTCCAAGGTTGGCAGGGATCGCCTCCTGCGCTGACCCTTGGTGGTGATCAGCTAGAAGTCGTTCAGAAATTCAACTACCTACAAAGTTGTATCAGCGCCCTTTGGATCGAAGATGAGATCACAAAACGTATAGCAAAAGCTTGAGGTGCTCTCGCAAACTGTCGCAACCTTTGTCGCCCGCACGACATCATTATCGCCCAGAAGGGTAGGGTGTACGAAGCAGTGGTACGTTTTACCCTACTGTACAGCTGCGAAACCTGGCCCCTTAGATCCTGGAACATAAAGAGGCTAGTTACGTTCGACCACCAGTGCCTTCGCAAGTTGGCTCAAATCTGGTGGGTACACCGCGTGAGCAACGAGCGTGTTCGACGCCTTGTTTACGGCACAGGAAAAGGAAATGAACCGCTCACGCACCAGGCTCCGATGGATCGGCCACGTGTTACGCATGCTAGCCAACGGACTCTCGCGAAGTGGGTAGTTTTCTCGCCGGAGGTGTGGACGGAAGAAAAGGAGAAGTGGCCAAGCGATTACTTGGTCGAGAGGAATGAACGCCCTCACTTCGAAGCTGGCCTCGGTTGCAGCGTCTCAGCTCACTGGTTGGAGTCCGAAAGACGATGAACACGTTTGGCTTGATTCACTTGTTGACGTGGCTACGAGCCGGCCTCAGTGGCATTCCTGCTGTGAATTGCTTTGTCCCTCCCCATAACACTTAGCCTCCTCCTCCAATTACGATTTCACTATTTAGCCTTATATACTTTTGAACAATGAAATGAGAAGATGAATATTGGCAGATGCTAGCATTTCGTATTATCTCCTCAGTACCAATACGATAACAGGGAAATCCTTTTATATTTCTTACAGGGCACAGTCAAGCCAATCAAATTTATGGTTGTGGTCATTGTTAATGGGATTAGGTCCAGGGCAACCGCAGGTTGACAACTAATTGTTTTTAGACACACAAAGCTGGTCTAATTCGGCTTATCGCGACGGCCTCGGCAAATCGTAAAAGGCGTGCATTGGTATGACGTAACAAGATCCGGAACGCTGTTAAGGGATTAACCCGGTGATGAGTCGCCAAGATGTGCCTGCCTATGGAGGACGCTAGCGGTTTACGTGAGCACGTGTCATCGGAGGTGGATTGAGTAACTTCGCGCTGAACCCAGTTTGGTAGGTGTTCCTTCACTCTGGAATCTAAAACCCGTTCGGTCCTGCCGATGTAACTGATACCGCAGTCACACACGAATTGGTAGACACAATGTGATTTGCCGCCGACGGGTTCATCTTCCTTTACTGAAGGTAACGGCATCTTTCGGGTTCTGTTGATTATTACCGCCTCCGCAGCACAGTATGTACGCTGAATGGCCGAGACAATACGTTTGGTTATCCTTCCCGCTGCGGTGTCACCCTTGAATGTTCACCTTCTTCTTAGGGGCTGTCAACACCATCTCCTTGGGCGGTCTAACTTGGCTATGTTTGTCTATGAATCGCTTTGGGTAGCCATTCTCCATAAGTGTTTTAGTGATCAGCTCAAACTCCTCAGACAGGCAGTCGTTGGAGCAGATACGTCTGGCCCGAGTGAATAATGTTTTTATCAGCGCGCGCTTGTGTGTCATTGGTGAGAAGCTAGTGAAGTGTAGGTATTGGCCGGACTTTGCATAGTAATTTTTTGCTGCATAGTAGCCAGCTGGTAGCTTACCGGTAGCTGGTAGCTTACCGTTCCCGGTAGCTTAGCTGGCATGCACCTGTTGCATGTTTCTTTCCTTCTGTTATGTATTGCTGCACAGTAACTGAGGTGTTTTCCACCTCTATCTAACGTGTGTAATGATGATGATACGTATATCCGGAGATAACAAGGCTTCGGATACTGAGCCAGCCGGTGTAGATATTGGTGTGGGCCAACAGCTGAAGATGGTCGGTTAGACTGCATCCGAATCAGTAGCCTGATGTGTGCCATCAAATCGGTTGGCACGTGCAAATCTTTTAAGTTACGAGGGTGCATATTTTTCAATACTGCCTATGCTCACACAAACTGTATCCCTGACATGGTGAATGACGATATCTACTGTAAACTGAACGAGTTCCTTCATCAAAGAAAAAAGTGCCGATATATAGTGTTGGCAGGTGATGGGAACGCTCAACTTAGAAAAATGTAAAATGATGAGTTTCATCTCAGCGGCCAACATGATGTAGGCCGCCGAAATGATAACACTGAGCGTCGGTTACACATGCGTTAAGAGGCGTGTCTGGTCTGCAAGTACATGCATCACCCGCCAAAGAGTGATATGGCGTCTATCAGCATCGAACTAGTCATGAACACAAATCAATCATATCGCGATCAGTTAGCGTCAGAAAGGCTGCGAAAAATAGTGTCGCTCGATTTGGTGCATAACTGTGAAGTCAGACCATGCGAACCTGAGGATGCGCTTCGGCTGATGGCCGCGACGACGCTGTGAGCGCGTAGACCCCCAGATAACTGGCGAAAACAGATGCCCTACATGCGTATCAAAGTAAGCTCGCATCCGAGCTACGTAAACGCTCAGTGAGTACAGCTGACGATCACTAAGCGTATGTTCGCCACACATTATTGGCTGCAGACATGATTTCATGTGGCAAGTCTAACTGCCAGCCTGGTGCATCCGGATGCTTATCGATACATTCCGGCTTGGAGCCAACACAACGAAATTTGCAGAGACCACAGGGCAAAACTGGGTACTATCATGAAGAGAGATTGAAAA